TAAAAATAGCAGAATGGGGCAACAGTTTTGGGGATGTGATTTGTGTATAATGTATAAAAATGCGTGAGTGTTTCTGTATGATTGGGATGAGAATGATGGTGCTGGTGTGCCCGTAAAAAAAGGGGGGAGTGAGTAACATTAAACAAGAGAGCAAGGGAGCACCCTTCAATCACTTGGACTTAATAATCTTTTTGAAAAAATTGGTCAACTTATTTTATAAAACGGCAGATGGTAGCCAAATGGGATTTGACTGTTAAAATTGATTCAACAGATCCTTTAAAAGCAAGCCAAGCACATTTCTTGCAACCAATTTTTATATTTTACGGTGGCTTTTTGTAAAATGCTCCTTATGACTTGATGCAGAAATTGTTCATGCGATTCCCACAAGCCTATTAGATTTCATCATGATTGAATTTCTTTTTCCAGTGATTTACTAACTACATTTTTGTTCTTGATAGCAGAGTTATAAAAGACAGCTTTCACAGCTGTTTATTGTAAACAAATATCACAATCATATCGCTCAAAGTACTATACCATAAACAAATGCACCCCTCATGTACTGTTTGATGTTCTCCCCATTGGAACTTCACTGACATAGAGCCCCTTTCCATTAGCACACCCTTTGCTCAATATCTCTTTGACTTCTTCTGCTGCCACTTATTAAAATTCATACACTGATTTTACCATGCAAACACTTGTGTCAGACAATAACAAAGCACAATGTCTTTAAATGTTCCAAAGTGGTAAGTCTCAATTTTGCTGGTTTCTAATCTTGATTTGAAATATTGTACTTAGTAAAAGTATCCAATATGTAGGCCTAGTATTTTAGTCAGTAATGCTCACTGTCTCTATGTCATGCACATTGATGAAAATAGAACTTTTCTTGGATTAAAATGATGAAAAATTATTTACACATGTGTATTATAAGAGAAAAAGTCATTCCTGCATTAAGATCCGATACAGAATAACCTGCTGAGTTTCTGATCGGAAATTGTGCATCTGTTTTAGATATATCAATTAGCTTAGCAAGCTTTTTTTTTCTTTTTTGAAGTGACGAACTTCAATATTAAATAATTATAATGGGCTGAGAAACAAGATTTCAATTTCTGGCCAACTTTTAGTAAACATTTGTTTAAGTATTACAATTGCAAAATCAGTCAGTTGAACTGATTATATAATATCTGCTATCTGCTCCTAAAAGTACGGACTACCTTCTTTTACTTGGCAAAAGCCTCAGTTATCAGCACTGTGTGATCCCATGTATTTTTACTGCCCTGCTCACCACTATATTGTGTCAATATATGGGAGCAACTTTTCTCAACTTTTTATATGGACATGTTACGGCTGAGCAAAGAAATAAAAACGCTGTCCTATAAAGGAAGTGAGTTTAATGGCTAATTCATTCCATCCAGAAAAAAATTACCAGTACAAAATAATTGAACTTTTACACACAAAATGATTATATGGCAGATCATGAACCAATTTAACATTGCCTCCACATCAAATGTAGAGTATAAACTCTTCATAGTAGCTGTACAAATATACCTTGTACTGATCAGTCTAATAAAACTCTCCACAAGCAAAAAAAATATATGAAACCCCAAAGACTACAAGAACTAGAAGACAAATGTATAAACAAAACATAAAAGAAAAGTTAAACAAGGAATAACTAACACCACCTTACATATTTTTTTTGCTTTACACACTTCTAAACTTAAACATATGGATATACATTTTGGTTTCAACAGATTCTGACAAGAATAACAGAAACTAGACTTTCATAGAAATATAAAATTGTATAAAGAAACAGCACTCTGACTTAAAGTTAAACACGTCAAAAGACAAAATTTTAACATCAACAATAATTGTGTATGAAAACAGTTCATTTTAAAAATTCAATATTGGTAACTACAACCACACTACAACCATGTACCATACAAGTCTTTTAATTTCTTTGAAATTTTATCCTATATCTTTTTGCAGATGTAAAAAGAAAGACATAAACATAGATTTATGTGATAGAAACTATAAATGACATAACAGTCTGTCATGATATAACTAGAACTTACTTTGTAAAAGCTGACCAGAAACGGTGCTGCAAATGTAACAAAGAAATAAAAGGATTGGGGGAATCCCTATTACAATGAACAAGTGAATCCCTATAAAATGTTGTTCTGCAGGTATAACATTGATACTGATTGTGATACCATTGAGAGAATAACAGAAAAAGCATTTAGACATTTTTCACTGAACAAATACAAGATTAGAACATAATGACTCAATACTATCTACATGAAGGTAGATCTATAATCTACAATGACTCAAAAAAAAAAAAAAAAAAAAAATGACTTTGAGCAGGAGTGGGTATTTCACAATAGGCAATAGGCAGTGCTATAATCCCCATCAAAAACTATGTCTGCAAAATCGAAAAAAAAAGGAAGAAAAAACCCACAAAGAATCAATTTTCAAAGAGTCCTGACACTTAAAGGAGTCTTAGAGATATATTGCCATTATCAAAAGACAGTGTTCCTGCTTTCATCAATCGTTCAGCAATAGTGTCTCCAAAGTTGTTTGATGCAGTATTTTGAGGTACAAATCCTGTTTTCATCAGTTTGTTGGCAATTTTTTGTTTGAAACTTTCAGATGCCTGTTTTGGAAGAGCAGCAAATCCTGTTTTCATTAACTTACCAGCAATAGAGGCTCGAAAAGACTTAGATTCTTGAGCCATTTCAGGTAGTTTTTTTGGGGCCAGTAGATCTTGTACACTCATTACATCCTGCACAACTTTTTCTTCCTTAATGTTCTCTCTTTTACCTTTATCTTGATGCACTTTATGGTGCTCCTTTAAGTTACTACTCTTTAGAAAGCAACGCCCGCATATTTGGCATTCAAAAGGTTTTTCACCTGTATGTGTTCTGATATGAACATTTAAGTTTCCTTTTTGAGTGAAACGTTCACCGCACTCAGGACATTCAAATGGGCGCTCTCCAGTATGAACACGCATGTGTACCTTCAAATCATTTGCCCCTCGGAAACTATCCCCGCACTCAGGGCATTTGCAGGGTTTTGCCCAAGAATGCATTTGCAAATGTTGTTTCAGAGATAGAATATTATCAAACTCTCTTTGGCATTGAAGACACACAAAGAGTGCAGACATTTTACCTGGTTTCCCAGGAGGTTCAACTTTGTGTAGATTACGCATGTGTTCTGTCAAGGTAATGCTCTGTTTGAACGATTTATTGCACAAAGGACAGGCATGTATAACTGTATGAGATTTCATGTGATTTTCCAAATCAACAACTGATTTGAATGATTTCCCACACTGTTCACAGCAGCCTTTCATGATTGAACTCAGCATAGCATGGGTGCTCTGATGAGCAATAAGAACACTCTTTGAATCATACTGTTTGTCACAAACAAAGCACCTCCAAAGTCTACCAGATGCACTTTTGTGAATTTTCATGTGTAATTTAAGATACCCTTTGGCCGCAAAAACTTCAGGGCAAAATTTGCATGAAAAAGGAGCATGATCTTTTTGATGATGAAAAGATAGGTCTCCTGCTGTAACAAATGTGTCCCCACAATCTACACAAATGAAAGGGCGCTCACCTGAATGTATGATAAAGTGACGCTTGAGGTGCCAGCTTCTTGCAAACTCCTTGCCGCACACTTCACAGATATGAGGAGACTGAGAAGATACTTCAGGTTCTCCAGAAGGTGCAGGGTGGTATCTTTTTTTGTGCTCTTCAATAGTTTCTGGAAGTGCTGATGTTAAGGGACACCACGGACACACATATACGCTACCTGGTATGGTATAAAATAGAAGTTAATACAAGTTTAACTTTGCAAAAGTTAAAGCATGACCAATAAGTAGTATACCTGAAGTGATGGTACCCTCTGTGGCAACAGAAACCTCTGGTTCTAGACAGGCCAAAAGTGAATCAGTAGACCGCGGAGTAAATTCAGCATTCAATTTAGAGTTGAGTTTCTGAGCCCTGTAAGTAAGCAGATACTTCTATTTCAAACAAGAGGTGGCCTTTCCTGTACGAGCCGACTAGCTGATGGTGCATTTAACTTGGCCAGAAATTATTCAGAGTCCAAATTCATATTTAAATTGAAAAATTTGGGAAAGGAATATAAACTTACAGCTTTGCAACAATCGCTTTAGCTCTTGAAGAATCCTCCAGCGGTTGTGAAGTGCTATCGTCCAATTTATCATTTTCATCACCATTACTGTCTTCTTCGTATAATTCTTCTGGCTCCATCTCAACCTTAACATCAACATTGAGGAACATTCCAGCAGTCGAGCTATCAAAATCTACCACATTATCGTGGACCAAGATTTTAGAATCAGAAAATTCATTTTCTCCACTATAAGTTGCTTCAGTGACTTTTGACTTGGCATTAGCTTGCGCAATTCTCTTTGACTGCCTAGTGGGTCCTCTCAATGAGTACTCAACAGGAGATTCCATCACTGATGAATGTTATCTGTTCAAAACAACAAACACAAGTCAATATAAAATTAGGGATGAAGATATGCTGCGGAATATGTACATTAATAAATTTAAGGTAACACTGTACACATAACAATGAACGTCAACATGCAAATATCGTGACAAGTACAAATGTTACATGTGAAGTGACAAAAATTAAACTAAAAGGAAACGTAGTGAAGAGGAAAACAGATATTTTGTTCGCTAAGTTAATTCAGCACTTACAACAGAGTTAATTCCACCCGGAAGACTAAAATTCAAGGTTATTTCTTGACTAGTTTGATAGTTTTACGTCCAAAATCTTGAGTGGACACTAGGCCGACTAGAAATGTAACGCCACAGAGTTGTAAAAGGGATGAAATTAATTTTTGCATTCCATCTCCACAGACTAAACGATGTAATCCATATCAACCCATGATTTGTTGTGATAATAACAACCTCACATTATTTTTCCACATGTTGTAATCATTTTTTTTTTCAAGGCGTGTCACAGGCTGCTGTAAAGATACGTAAACGTGTCCTACTTCTACGTAAGGTCAGTTCTACAAATATAGCAACAGCACATTGAAGCGGTAAAGGCGTTTTGTGATCTGATTATCGCTCACGTGAAAAACGTCACAGTTTAACATACTTGATGCAATCAACAAACAAATCGTTTGTCCCAACTCTCGACATTAACGTGTGATGTGACTCATAGACACGCGTAAAGTCACGCAAAAACATCGAGTCAGCACTGTAGTTTAGCCGCGCTTTTCAAAAATGGATGCATTACTTTTTTTGATAAATTACTTCGTCAGAAGTGCAATGTACCTTCTTATGACCCCAACGAAATATAGTAATTTGGTTTTGTCAAAATATTTTGTGTTCGGGAAGCGCGCGAAAAATGTGGGCAGATATAAACGTTTTTCCTTGGCGGGCGGCTGCTATCTGCTATCGCGGCATCTGAAAAGCCCCCCTGATAACACATCACCCACATCCCTCGCCTGCCACAGCTGCAAGGCACACAGCTGGAGAAATGGGAAACAAAAACAGGTAAAATGGCGTGAGTGGCGTTTAGTGGCGTGGCGCGCGTGGCGCGCGTGGCGTGCGTGGCTTATCACGTGTCTCGCAGCGTCGCCTTGGCCGGCCGCTGGAAGCGCGGCGGCTGCGCCACATTATTTCAAATCGTACCTTCCGCTCTGACTCAGAACTGCTTATTTCAGATAAGGAGAGCGGCGGCAAGCCCGCCCCGCACGCACATAGCTCGAGAAAGTAAACATCAACA